CCCTAAATTTATCATAGAAATATTGGTGATTTACTCAGTTGTGTACTTGTTCATAGCAGTTGTGTTTCAGTACATCTTTCTGAAATTGATAAAAATCTGGCATCTCAGAATTACCTTCCTGTTTTTAATTTTAATGTTGATGAATAATAAGTGTGGCTGCTTTCAAAGTTTCTAATGAATTGTATGTTTCCAAACCTGGGGAAAGGAACAACCAAATCAGCAGACAGCTGCTTCTAGTTCCATCACACAATTACAGGCAGTCCCCAACTGGGATCATATTTTTATCAACTTCAGAAAGATGTACCGAAACACAACTGCTATGAACAAGTACAAAACTGAGTAAATCACCAATATTTCTATGATAAATTTAGGGTATTCTAGATCAGTTTTCAAAGGAAACTCTGCACTGAATAAATCTATATCCTTGGTTATATTGCTGAATAGCCTTGACAACAGCACTGTCTGTAGAGTAAGCTGAGATACTCATTACTAACTAATGAGGGCTGAAGATGACTACTGAAATTGTAGGCCTAAGTCAGAGCTGAAATGTCATTGTGCTTTTATTCTTAAATGGCTTTACAACCATGCTTGTCTTTCAGTATCCAAACATATCAAACCAATAGCATAGGGCAAAGTACTTACATCTTAACATTATTGTTGCACTTACATACTAGCATTCTTAATTCGGTTAGGTCCATGGTATAAGTACACTTTCAACTTGCCATGTTTTACGTATTTTTCCACTTCCTTTTTCCAGTGATGAATCAAAGATGCAGGACAGACAATTAAGGTACCGTGTGAACAGGTATCAATAGAACCTGAAAATGCAAAAGTTACCAGGTGAAATGGGACTTAAACAAAGTACCACAGTGCATCATATGTCTCTTCAGGATTCTGGCCCCTCATATTTTCCCTCCCTAACATCAGCTTTAGATTTTTCCTAATGGTCAGTATTTCATGGCCACAGATTCTGTTTGTGGAGAGAAGGAACTCTTTTCCTTAGGATTTTTTCCCTACAGTTTTAATATTTCACCTAATCTAGTTATCAATCTGCCAATACCTAACTTTCCTACATAAATAGTTCATGGAGATATTTTTAAAAACGTATTTTTAAGTTTTTATATTTCCATATTTCTTTTCTAAACAATTAACCATAAATAATCCAATGTAATTACGCTGTGTAAATGAGTTGAGAGATAGTGATTTTTATTTTTGTACCTTGTTTGGACATCCAAAGGTCTAATTTCTTCTCTTTTTCTTTTTCTGTGCACTTTTGGGCCAGGATGAGGGCAATCATTGTTAAAGTCTTTCCTAAGCCCATATCATCAGCTGGAAAGAAAAAAACAAAACAAAACAAAAATATGGATTTATGTACATGGATACCTTAACTCTGATTCATTTTTGAGTCTTCTCATCTTCCATTTGGATACTGTTTTCCACTAATAATTCTACATTTTTCCACTTTTATTTAAAAATCATTAAAGAAAAATGGATGGATTAAATTTTGTCTGGGAAAGTGGCTAAATTGTAGTCGAAACCAACCTCCACTCCTGAGAATTAAAATCCTACTGTAAATTATATTTCCACAGAGAGTAAGTTTTAAAAACTGAAGGGTAGAATTCAAGAAGGAACTTGTTGAACCAAGGGTGGAGTTTAATACTGCAATAAACAGCAGGAAATTTCAAGGAAGAAATAGAGAGAACATAAATTTTCAATACAAAAAAACCCCCTAGTTTTTTCTGCTCAATTGTTTATGTTCACTGAGGTAATAAGCCTAATTGTGTCTAATTCTCTGAAAAAGATTATCAAACTGGGTTGTCAGCTTTTCGCTCATTCTTCTTCAGGCAGGACATGAAGGTACTTGCTTTATTTAGAAGAGTTTGTGATCAGACTTGTACATTAGGATCTTTGCAATATTTTTTCTAAAATCTAGACAACTGGTTACAACAAACCAGTTTCACCCTGTGAATCTTGGAGTATATTTTCTGTTGCAGGTTGGTTTTTAAACCAAGCAGTCAACAGTGAATGTTTGCATTTTGGCTATTTACAGTTAGAAATTAGGATTTATTGTTTCAGTTGTTTAAAAAATTAAATTGTACTTATTTTATCTCCTGTGAGATGGATATATTTCCCCTGAAGTGGAACAGGGAAAGCTGAAATTTNCCTTTACAATTACAAAATATAAGCATGTATGATAGAAAAAGGAAGACAACACCCATTTAAGAAAGAAAGAAGCATGCTTAATTTACAAAGCCTCTGTCTGCTGCTCCTTAATGTGATTAACTTACTTAAGCAAAGAGTACATATCCAAGAGGTTGTTCTGAATGGGTGTTCCAGTGACAGCCCATCTGGCAGTAGCTCTCAGTTTACAAGCACCTATTGAGGCCTGTACTTTGGGGTTTTTGATATTGTGGGCTTCATCCAGTATAATTCGAGCCCAGCGTATGCATGCCAGAGGACAGAAAGGAAGTGATTTATCCTAGAGAAACAGATTTCAGCATTAGTCTGTGATGTTTGCAAAAATACTAGAACATTTGAATTTAGCGCATCTAGCAGTATACATGTAAGACATCTTTTCTCAACATACATGTTCTAAAATGTACTGCAATACTGTTTTGTGCTGAAGACATCAGAACATTAAAAGTATGAAATTAACTGGATCCACCAATTTGTCTGAAAATTGTAGATCAGGTAAATATGTAAAGAGCTTTTTTTAAAGATCAAAAGTATCTTAATCTGAAACATTAACAAACCATTTCACTCCTTCAATTAAATGCCATAAAGTTTACCTAGAGTCTGAACACGGTGTTCATATTCAAATAGACATAAATAAAATATATTTTTAAATTGATTTCATCTTTACTACTTGCTTTTGCAGCATACAATTAAGGCTACATTGAGAATTATTTCGATGCAAATACAAACACACCAGAAAAGTCATAATCTACTGAATTATAACAAATAAATCTGTAACCACTCCAGCACAAATCATTCTACACCAAGGTTCACAGATCTGTCTATGTTTAAATATAGTCTTTATCTCAACAGAGTAATTCCTTGATTCTATTTTAAAATCATTTTAGCACATTACAGTCACCTGTACTACACAATCTTCAGCAACATCTACTTCTTTCTTTTGTACAGGAATTTCCTTGGCTAGAATACTGTAGGTAGTGATAACAATCTCATTTTGAGAAAGGCTGCAAAGACAAGGAGAAATAGTTAGTAAAAAATCTGGCATCTCAGAATTACCTTCCTNTTTCCCCCTGGTTTTCCTCCACAAAAACTAGGTGCTTCTTATGCTTCGGAGCATCTTATAGTCCTAAAAATACAGCATACACATACACATATACACACACAAATCCTTTCCCCCTCCTTACTTTTGTTAAAAATGACACCCAATCTGGGATTCCTTTGAAAGACTGCCATTGTCTTCCTACCTTTGTGCTCTGCTTGGTCATTTCAAAAAGATCAGCACCAAAAGCTGTACCGAAGAGTTTCACCATTGAGAGTGGATCACTGCTCTCAGGTTCAGACAGAGTTAAAGCACTGAGTTGCTCTTCCATTGACAGAGAGATGCCTTCGCTATTCATGTTAGCCTGGTCAAGAGCCTGAAAGAAAAAAGATATTGCCAAGCATGTACAATTTCTGAACTCAATCAATCTCCACCAGAAGGGATGAATAGTTATAAGCCATAGTTACCACTTTCAGCAAAGAAAGATGGCAGCAGCATTGACGAAGCCTCAGCAAGAGGGATAGGATGTGAATAGTGGTGGACCCGGGAAACCTGTCTTTCACCATCTTTACTGACGAATCCTGCTGACCCATTTTAAACTGCTGTGCTCCTATCAAAGATGAAACTGCATATGTATCAAAGACAAAACTCTGAGGCTAAAAACAGAATTTATATCAGAAGTGTGCAATATGATTTCTGAAAGCTATCATTACAATTTGAAGGTGGGAAGCCAAAGCAGTGGATAGGAGAATTAGCTTTCCTATTAATAGGTTTCTTTCCTAACAAAGTTACAAAAACAGCAACAAAACTGTTGAACAGCCTGATCAGATTCCTATTGACACATTTCTACACCGCGTGCCAGAGAAATTTAACACCTTACCCATAGTAAGTGAGTTGTCTCCAGAATAGCCTGTATGCAAAGTTTCCTGGTGTTTGAGAAAAGACTGCAGTGTTGACCTAAACATCAAGAAAGCATAACAAAGCAACTTGAATGAAGGTCTCTTTCCCTGTTTTTATGCAAACTCAAGACAAACAAACAAAGATGCAATGACTTGCATCTTTGCATGGTCAGCCAGCTAATCTGGTGCCACCACGAAACCCTTGGCCAAAAAGAAAATGCAGTTTATTAAGGGATTGATCTCAAATCACTATAACATTATGAACATAACATGGAGAGCAAGTGAAAATATTTGAAGTACAGGTAGTCCTCAACTTACAGCAGTTCGTCTAGTGACAGTTCAACATTACAACAGTACTGAAGAATGACTTAGGACAGTTTTTCACACTTACAACCACTGCAGCATCCCCATGGTCATGGGATCAAAATCAGACACTTGGCAACTGACTCATATTTATGATGTCTGCTGTGTCCAAGGATCATGTGATTATCTTTTGTGACCTCCTGACAAGTGAAGTCAATGGGGAAGTCAGATTCCCCTAACCGTGTTACTGTGTTGCTAACTTAACAAGTGCAGTGATTCACTTAACAACTGTGGCAAGAAAGGTTATAAAATGGGGCAGAACTCACTTAACAGTTTTGGGTTCAATTGTGATTGTAAATTGAGAATTATCTGTGTAAGCAGAGAGATTAACAAGTATCATTTAGTAAGGTAAAGGTTCCCCTCACACACATGTGCTAGTTGTTCCCGACTCTAGGGGGTGGTGCTTATCTCTTTTTCAAAGCCAAAGAGCCAGCACTGTCCGAAGAAGTCTCTGCCAGCATGACTAAAAGCCAAAAGCGAACGGAATGCTGTTACCTTCCCACCAGAGGTGGTTCCTATTTTTCTACTTGCATTTTCACATGCTTTCGAACTGCTAGGTTGGCAGAATCTGGGACAATTAATGGGAGCTCATTCCGTTAAGCTGAACTAGGGATTTGAACCACCGAACTGCTGACCTTCCTGATCGACAAGCTCAGCATCTTAGCCACTGAGACACTGCATCATTTAATATTTACCATTATCATTTAGTAATTTCATATTTTAAGGAAAGAGCAGAAAATATGTTGGAAGCCGTAACCTTTTGGAAAAAAAAAATCCTTTCAGGAGCCATATAATGATGATGGTGCACACCAAAGATAAAAAGCGAACGCAACTCTTTTTCTCTCTTTCATTGTTTATTTATTTTATTTATTAAAGTTATTGGCTGCCCATCTTACCACAGGGTAACTCTGGGTGCCTTACAATGTTAAAAGGTAAAACTATATAAAGTACTACAAAAATATAAAAATACAAAATAAAGTTGCTAAAAGATGGGAAGGGAGCAGGATGAGCAGATGAGATCTGATATTAATCTATCAATCATCCCTATGGAACCCCAAGTCAATTGGCTGAGCTGGACTTTAAGCAGTTGTGGAAGCTCAAGAGGGTTGGAGCTGATCTCACTTGGGAGGGGGGGAGGGAGATATTCCAAGATATTTTCTTAGAAACCCTGTTGTAAATGTAGTTTCCTCCTAGATTATAAAGAGATCTGAGAGCTTGATATCTTGTAACATAAAAAAGCAAACAACCCCAACTTTGTGGAATATAGCAAAATTCTGATGATTTTAAACCAACAGACAAAATTTAGGCAGAAGCTATAAGACAAAACTAATCACTTCCAGTCTGATCCAATTGATCAGTAAACCTTACAGTTTATTTATATAATAATGAGGTTCCTTTCCAAGGCTCTTGTCTTTGGATGAAACTAAACACTCTGAATATTAAATTAAATGACAGGATGTTAACTATACGATGGAAGGTATACAAAAATTAAACAATACCTCTGATTTATGAAACTAAAGGTTATTTTCAAAGGGAAAGCAAATATGACAAAATGATTCAGGGTTTAATGTTCTTCATTATATCTATTTCATTATTCATTATTAAGAACTTCATTATTTCTTCGCTATATCCATACATCTAAATATCAATCTTTTGTGGGAAGGTGTCACTGAGATGATAACTCTGCCGTGCCGATTACTGATTTTTCTGTGTTTTAAACAGATGGAAATACAGACCTCACATCAGAAAGAAAACAAAGCAAGGTTAGATACTGTCCAGAAATGCTTCTCACAAGGAGGAGCATTGCACTTTCAAAACAGAGCTAATCACTGAAACTAAGTTTACAGATACATTTATAAATTTACAGGCATCGCACCTTGATCGTTTGAAAAGTACATCATATACTGACTGTTCATCTTCAGAGAGTTTCAATCTGTGTACCTGAACACAACGCTGAGGCAGAGATATCTAAAGGGAACGAAGAACCAGAACAATTTAAAAGACTGTACCAACAGGATTAGTGCAATTCAGGTACTCAAAATTAATAAAGTCGAAAACTGTTTTGTCCTATGAAAAATGCAGAAGACTCATTTTTCATTACATTCCCAGGCCTAGAACTATACAAATGCTATGTGAACAAAATACTGACACATTATACGCTGTTTTGTGCTGACAGAACATAAAAAATCCCTGAAGCCCAGCCAGGTAATAATACATCTAATAAGAAAATTTTGCAGAATATTTAACATCTCAAACATAGATTTATCTAAGCAATGGAACAACTGTGTTGATTCAAAAGTCTGTTGCCTTAACATTTTTTTAAAAAAATACTATTAATAATCAAGTATATTAAAACTTGGAGACCAGGAGCACATAGTACATTTTATATCTCAGTTTGGTAGAAGTAAACAATGTAAACATCTTATTTTCAAATTTTGCATTTTTAAAAATTAAACTTTTATTGCTATGGGGAAGATCTGATGCTGGACAAAAATGCTGAGGAGTGAGGAATACGTGATTTTGTTCTACTTCCTTTTAGCTACACTGAGCTGGTGTTTGTCACCAATATTTAAGTTGCATTGTTTTTTATACATAGAATAGTATAAAAAGAAAATATTTGAGTTTAAAATAAAATTTGTCTAATTAATTAAAAAGTAGTATACTCTATTTTCACATTTGGGCAAGAAAAACTGTAATTTTGTGATTTATTAAGGAAAGAGGAATAGCAAAATAAATGGAGAGATGTTATTACCAAAGGCTTGCCAGATGAATCAAGCTGGTCTTTAGTTCTTCGTAGTAAGAGACTCTTGGTTAAAATAATCAATCTCTCTCCTCCTTTTCTTGTGTTATTATCAACTTGGCTCTTCCATACCTTAAACTCATCAAAAGGAGAACAACGAAGAAATCTGTGGGTAAAAGGCAGTAAGAGGAAGGCAGTAGAGACAGGTGAGACACTGCTGTTGAGGATTAACAGATTCAGGACAAATCACTTTACATTTAAAACTACTGGCAAAATGTAAGCTCAACATGTCAACAAATGTCTTGTATTAGGCTTATATTAAGTTAGCCTCTCCTTTTCAAAGGTGTTCTCCTTTTGATGAGTTTAAGGTATGGAAGAGCCAAGTTGATAATAACACAAGAAAAGGAGGAGAG